TACTATTCAATTTTGGAAATACGACCTAGAAACTTGTACTTGTTGATCAAGCTAGATTACACAATGTGATGTTGAGATTTTGGTTTTATTTTAGTTTTTTGTTCTTGTTGATTTATGATTGTATCAAGGAGCTTATGTTTAGCTGATTTCATTTGATTTTATGTGTAATTGTTAGAAAATAATTTGAACAGATAGTTAACGAAAAGTCAAACAGATAAAAAAAAATCAAAGGATAAAATTGAAAACAAAATATTCTCTACGACTTTTCACCAAATTATTTCACAAAGCGTGAATTTCTCATCAATAAAAAATATCCCTTGGACCTAATGTCTTATACCCTCTTTAAATTACATTTATCATCAATTAACCATTTATTCTATAACTAATAACTATATAAAATAAAATTTTAAAATAAGATTTATTAAGGAAAAATTAGGAAGGGATGTGAAAGTTTAAGGACAATGACAATTTGTTTGGTAAAGTCCCTAACATTTGAAATTCCATGAAAATAATGACAAATTTCAACAAATTGTTTTTTGAAATGTGTTTCAAAACTTTAAAATTTAATAACTTTTGATCTGAAATTCTATATTTTGTAATATTTATATTTTTGGAATCGTTTTATCGAGATCTATCAAACAATGATGAATATGAAATTTTGAAAAGAAAAAAAAAATCACTAAGTTTTCTAACTAAAAGTCAAAGAAATTTCATTGACTTCTCAATTGTCTAATTTCTGAAATTTTTCTGAAAGAAAATAAGCAATTCTAAGGTTACGTTTGGTGGAGTTTTGTAAATATGATTTGAGAATATGAGTTGTATTTTGAGTTTGTGAGTTGTGGAATTATGATTTGAGTGTAGAAAATTTGTTTGGTTATGATTTTTGAATAGTGTGTTGAATTGAGTTTTGAATTGAGTGTAGAATTGAATTTTGAAAGTTTGATTTGACATGTGAAGTAAGAAAATTTGTTTGGTTATGAATTTTAGAAAGAGTTTTTAAAACTTAATTCAAATTGTTATAACTGATAACAAAACACACTACTTTCACACTATTGAAAATTATGATCAACACTCATGGCCAAACTCTTTTTAAAATTCAATTAAAAATATTTATTATTAACAGAAAATAACATTAATTAATTTTTTAATTGAAAATACGACAAAGGAAATAAATTTTTTTTCAAAAGAAATATTCAAAAAATTTAAATCATAAATATTTAAATAATTTAAATAATCTACAAAATTTAATAAAAACAATTTGATTATTGTTTTTATGGGAATTTGAATAAAATTTTATTGAGTAATTAATGTTTGAAATTACTCAGTAAATTCAATTTGGCCCATTTTGGCAACAAAAAAGTTACCTCTTATTCTAATTTTTTTGTTTTTGTTTTTGGCGATGTTGTTTTTAAAATTATGTTCCGTCTTGTCAAGACAAATCTAAAACGTATTTTTTTTTTTGAAAAATTTCAGAAAAAAATCACTAAAGACAAAAATAAGCACAAAAAAAAAATGCTTATTTTGGCATATTTTTGTCTTTTCTGGATTTTTTTTTAATTTTTTAAAAAAAATTAAAATTGCCGATTCATCTTGTTAAGCTGAATCTAGAATCCTAAAGTTATTTGAAATTTTTTAAAATAAGTTCACTAAAAACGAAAATAAGCCAAAAGAAAAGGCCAAAAAAAACAAAAAAAACTTCCCATAACACCTATTTATCTAGTATAAAATTGATCCCATTTTACTATATTTCAATCTCATTCATGTGATAGAGAATCTACTAGAACTATTGGCTATGCTCAATAAATGCATTTAATCTTATTCAATGCATTTTAATCTAATTTTTTTACAAAGAATGGCATAGATTGATTGTGAAAGTAAGGTTTTTATTGCCAATTAAGTCATATTTTTTTTATATTAATCCTTATTTACCTTATCATGATAAAAAAGAAAGACTTTGTTATTAACAAAAGAAAAAGAAAAAGAAAATAAAAAATAAAAGAAAAAGGGAAGAAAAAGAAGCATATAGCATTAGAATATAAAGGAAAAAAAAGATATTTCTTTTAAGGATCACTAATGTTTATTTTAAGGATCACTAATTTTTTAGTACCAAAGATTACTTTAACATGAAGAAAATGTAGCCAATTATTAATTTTTAGAAACATTTTAGTTTTCAAAAACTGTTTTATAAATTTTCAATTCGTATTTTGCATTTTTAATAAATTTTTAAAATATTTTAATCCTTTTTTAAAAAAATTTTAGATCCACTTAATCTTAATATATTTAAAAAGTAAAAAAATTGTACAAAAAAATTTAAAAAATTCATTGAATACAACAAAATACAAAAATGTATTGAATTTTTATTTATTTATTTTGTATTTTTTTATATTTGTTGAATTTTTTAAAGTTTTTTTTTGTACAAATTATATTTTTAAGTTTATTTAAATTAGGTGTATTTAAAAAAAATTACATAAAATATTAAAAAAATTTCATTAAAAAAAAAGAAAAAAAAACTCAGGTTACGTTTGGTGGAGTTTTGTAAATATGATTTGAGAGTATGAGTTGTATTTTGAGTTTGTGAGTTGTGGAATTATGATTTGAGTGTAGAAAATTTGTTTAGTTATGGTTTTTGAATAGTGTGTTGAATTGAGTTTTGAATTGAGTGTGGAATTGAGTTTTGAAAGTTTGATTTGACATGTGAAGTAAGAAAATTTGTTTGGTTATGAATTTTGGAAAGAGTTTTCAAAACTTAATTCATAAAAATAATTTCAATGAAGCATATTTTTGTCGTTATTTTTTTTTAATTTACGATTTTGGCATTTTTTTATTAACCCATATTAAATTATTTTTACATTTCAAAAATGGATTTTTATTTTTTTATTTATTTGTAAATAATGTAAATAATCTAAAAAATTGAAATTAAATATTCAAAAAATATTTCAATTCTAAAAATTTAATCAATTTAAATAGTCAAAAAATTATTTTAACAACGAAATTTAGATAATTTAAATATTAAAAAAATTTAAATAATTTAAAATGTAAATATTTTAAATTTAAAAACAACTCTACACTCAAATCGTAACCAAACACATAAAACAAAATTCAATTAAGAAATTGTTTTTAAAACTCATAACGAAACACATAATTCGAAACTCCATACTACTTTCACAACTCTACACTCAAATCGCAACCAAATACATAACAACAAAATTAAAATATTTAAAAATATTTGTATAAAATAGAGTTTGAATTTATTTTTATAAAATATTTAAAATTTTAAAATTTTAAAATCGTAATATTTTGAAATTTAAATATTCAAAAAATTAAAAAAAAAATCATAACATATTTAAATATTAAAATATTTAAAATCTTAACAAAATTAAAATATTTTTAAAATATTAAAATATTGATTTGAATTGAGTTTTGAAAAGAGTTTTGAATTATATGTTTGGTTATGAGTTTTGAAAAGTAATGATTATGTTTTGAATTGAGTTTTGAGAAATGGGTGTAGAATTATGATTTGAAAGCTCAAAACAAACAACACACTTAAATCAATAGGTAAAACTATAATTTGAGTTGCTTATTACCAAAGAGAGCCTCAATTTTTTGAAACTAAACATGGTGAATTGTTTTTAAGAATGAAGAAGGGGTTGGAAGCCAACTTTTCGTAGTTGGGCATCAAACCACTAGTCGTAAGTTGTATTGATATTTTTAGTCAATAGTGATGACAAATAATTGAAAAAAATCAAATTCCTGTTTTTAGCTAATAGTAATAACAAATAACTGGGAAAAAAAAAACAGATTCCAAATATTAACTAATAATACTATCTAAAAAAAAATATATTGGCTAATAATATAAGTAATAATGAATAAAGAAAGAATGGAAAAAAATCCAAAAGGGTAAATTATATTGACACCTTTGAGGTTTGATCCAATTACATCTTATTTCTTGATATTTTGAAAGTTATATTTTCACCATTGTGATTAATAGTTTCATTTCACACTCTCCGACTTATATAAAAGATAACAACTTCTAATAAAAAAATAGAAGAAATTACATTGAAAGAAAAGTAAAGCAAAGGAGAGAGAGAGAGAGAGAGAGAGAGAGGGGAAAAAAAGAGAGAAAGTAAAGCAAAATAAGAAAGAGAGTGCATGAGTTTAATGTCTATAATGATAAGGGAGTTAGTGTAATTTTTTAAACATCAAGAATGATATATATGTATTAAACTCAAACTTTAAGGACATAAGTGTAATTTACCCAATCCAAAAAGGACGGAGTGCACAACACGCACAAGGCACACAATAACGCAGAGCAGTGAAAAATCCTTTCAACTAGGGATGCAACTCGGGCGGGTTCGGAGGTTGTCTAAGCCCAGTCCAAGTTGTGCTAAGATTTGTCCAGGCCCACCTAAGTCCGAATTGTAACCCGAGATTGTCTGTCCAAGCCCGATCCATGTTAAACCCGATTTGTTTAAATTGTATTTTTTATTTTATTTTTTTTGCAGCTACATTATTAAATTATTAAAATTTGATTCTATTTACATTATATATATATATATATATATATAGAAAATCATTGATACCATCAAAACACATAATTTATATAATATAAGAGAGATGTCGTTATAGTAGTATTTAAATTTATTAGTGAAAATAAATAAAAAAAGGTAAGATTTTATGTTATTTGTGTATATAATATATATTCAATATGATTTAATAATCTAAATTACTTCAATATCATATAATGACTAATAATTTATATATCCGGAGATGTATAATTCGAGCTTCAGGTTGCTAGGGTTGTTTGATGTCTTTGTCCAAACCCATCCAAATTTAATTCGGACTTCTCAATTTTTACCCAAGCCCATACCGAATTTAAAAATATCTCATCCAAACTCTAAAAAAATTCAAACAGGATTGAGATTGCTTGAATTGTGTCCAACCAAGTTGCACCCCAACTTTCAACCAAACAAAGCTATCCTTGGGGAGTTGGCAACGTGGCATACAATGCATTTTGTTATTCTTTGTTTGTTTATTTATTAAACAAAAAGAAAACAGATTTGTTTTTGTTTTTTAAAAACAAAAACACAAAAAACACCCACCCACAACAACAACCTCCATCACCTCCACAACAGCATTGTTAAGAAGAGACTGAAAACAAAACCAAATTCCCCACATACCAATCCAAACCACTCTCGATCGAAATCTCAAATCGCCGATAAAGTTAGTGAATGCAAATTGTTTTCAGAAAACAATTTTCTGTTCTCTGAAAGTAAAAGTTTGGACTGCGTGTCGGTTTCTCATTGTTGAAATTACTTGATTTTGTTTTCTTATTTGGTTTGTCTGGTAATTTTCTGCTGCCATTTCTTGTTGTAAAGATTGCTGTTTTTTGTGGTGCAGGTGGACATAGTATGATGATCTTTAGGTTTAGGTTTATGAATTTAATGTTGCTTTTCCCATAGTTCATCTGATCACTATATTTGGTACATGTAATGTCTATATATATAGAGAGAGAGAGAGGACTTTATATTTACAAAAATGTAGATATATAATATAGGTGATATCAGTTGTGGCAGTTTCCATTAACATAGTCAGTACAAGAATTCAATGGAATGTATGCATCTTGTCTCATCATATACTAGTTATCTGTAATTTTTAAATTACTTCAAGGTAGTTCTATCTCTCTCTACAAATTCCTCAATTGTTTCCAATTCTCTTAGTCTGTGTTTGGATCATTATGAATTTGAGTAGGGATTTGGAAAGGGAAATGAAACACAACATTAATCTCATCATTCTTCTGCATTGCTAGATGTTTTGATTTGTTCTTTTGAGTTTTATGATTTTTTATTTTTTTATTTTTTTGGTTTTTTTTTTTTTTGGCTCTATTTGGTTTCTTATTTTATGTTGTGATTGAAAAATAGGTTTCCTGCATTGGAATTGGGGCTGATAATATAGTGATCATGAGATACAAGAAAGGGAGCATTGTCGAGGTCCTGAGCAAGAATGAGGTGCCATCAGGCTCATGGCGTTGTGCTGAGATAATCTGTGGTAATGGGCACAACTACACTGTTAGATACGAGATGGACCCTGGTGCTACAGATGAGGCGATTGTTGAAAGGGTATCTAGGAAGTCGATTAGGCCCTGTCCTCCTCCAGTGAAACTATCGGAGAATTGTGTTCCTGGTGATGTTGTAGAGGTGTTTCAGAATTTTTCTTGGAAGATGGCAACTGTTTCTAAGGTTTTGGGTAGGAATTGCTTTTTGGTTAGGTTACTTGGATCCTCCCATGAATTCAAAGTCAGTAAAGTTGACCTCCGGGTGCGACAATCTTGGCAGGGTGGCAAATGGTTCGTGATTGGAAAGGTAGTTTTATCTGAATCTGTTTTAGGCTTGCAACTCAAATATTCCAGTGTCCGGTCTTTATTTATGTATTATTTAGGAGTTCTTGTTTTGAATTCTCTTGCTTCCGCTAAAATTTTCATCTTCTGCTTCCCAAATTTTCCACAAATCCGTTTATAGCTGATACTCTTATGCGGATATAATAAGTTAACACTTGAGAATAATTAGATTCAAGTTTATTTGGATATGTTATTAATGACATTTGAACTAGTTGATTTATTTTGGGGCTTCTAGAGCAATATTGATCATGTTCTAATTTTTTTTATTTTAATTTTTTTTGTTGTCATACAATTTAACAATAGTTTTAATGGGATCAACTTTATATTGATTTTATCTCTCTTTTTTGCTAGCTGGGTGTTGGAAACTGTGAAGATGGGAAATGCAGTGAACGGTCAACTCTGAAATACAATCAATTGAGTTCCCAAGTTAAGAAAACAAATAGAGGGATGAATTTCCCTGTAAATAAGGAGCTTTGTGCTGCTAAGAGCAATAACAATTTCCAAGAATCACATATTGTTTCCTCCAGAACTCTGAAGAGAGGATTGCCCGATTGTTATTCTCAAGTTGATGCACCTGCAAGAACTTCCCAGAAGTTTAGAGTAATTGCGAAAGAGGGTAGGTGTCGTTGTCTGCTTGCTGCATATCCGTCCCCTTTACCTGAAAAGATATATGCTGTTTTGTCCCATCGAGAAATGCAGGGTGAAAAAAACTGTTATACTTCTTTCAACAGCAGAACAACTCACTTTACTAAAGTCGATGTGGAGAGGGAGAAACCAAGCGGAGCTGTTGGGTGTTTGCATGCAATTAGCTTAGAACCTAATGATGCAGAAAATATTACATGCTCTGTGGCTAGTTGTAGCATTACTAGCAATGATTCCTTTAAGTTGCGTTGTAATTTTTCTAGAGGTCCTGTTGAAGATACTGAAGGAGATTGTAGTGATGCTGAGTCTGCTTGTCATAGGGGCTTTAAGGAAGGGAATTGTTTCCTTCCCAGTCAGGTGGAATTGGCAGAAGAAATACATAGGTTAGAGTTAGATGCCTACCGTTGCACTATTGAGGCATTGCATGCATTGGGACCCTTAAGTTGGGAACAAGAAACATTGGTGACAAATCTTCGCCTTTCGCTCAATATATCAAATGATGAACATTTGATGGAGCTAAGGAACCTAGTTTCCACTGCTACCAGCATGCCTCTTAGTTGACAGGGAAAAAAGAAATCCCTTCGCCCTCACTTTATTCTCTCCCTCTTCTCTTCATTTTCTATGAGTAGAATTTGTTTTACCCTAGGTATAGTGATTGCAGTTCGTAAGAAGCAGATAAATTTTGTTTGTTTTGTTTTTTTGCTTCCATTTTGGTTATATAATTCTGTAATGGTCTTGATGAAATGTTTGTACCACAAACTTCTATAATGCAATGGACATTTCTGAACTCAACTTGTGGATCTTACGTCTGTTGGGCCGTTTACTGTTTAGTAAAAAGTTGGATATCCTCTTGGTTAATTCCTAATATATTTGAATGCTTAGTGCATTAAAATTTGCAAATGATGACTAGATGTATAGTTGCTAGATTTCATAAATTCAGTGTCAGATATACTCTTTGTTGTTAAGGATGTTATTATATGGGGAAATGCCATTGCGATAATGCTTACAGTTTTCTCTTTACTTGTATTGTATGTGTATTTTTCTCTTTTGCGTTAAGTGGAGTATGTAAAGTTCCTCAAATTTTGGAATTTAGGGGTTTTAGGAAAGCACCAATAATAAGAAAATTTTGTGGGTTCCATTCTTCAAATAGCTGATTATCTCCATACTGTTTGGCAATGTAAGTAGTAATTTTAAGGACATTATTGATGCTTCCCCTGCATTTTCTAGGGATGAAGTAGGAAGTTTGCACACCTTGCTTTGGGGTTTGCCACTTTCTCTTGCTGCAGACAAGTGTTCATTCTCAGCATCGAACCAACAACAAATAGGAGAGCTTATGATGAGCTACTGGTATGTTTAATGTAATTATGCTCTGCATTCTTTGATTTCAGGCCACCTCTGAGCCTTGAATGTGTTTCGCTGAAGGATGCAGAACCAGAGTTATGCAGCTGCCAAGGGATGTCCTGATATGTGACTACTTGAAAGGTTTTAATTTTGAACCTTTACCTCAGCTCATCCATATATTTTCATCTTGTTCTCGCTGCTGTGTGATTTCATTCTCCATATGTTGCAAAGTTTTTTTTATTTTCCACTAGAGTTGATTTGGATAGTGATTTGTCTGTATTAGTTTCATTTTAGTTATGAATCTGTGGATTAGAATTTAGTTGAAACTCAGATGAAGATATATAAAATCTGTATTGAATTGTGTGGGTGGCACACCTATAATATACATAATAGAATGTAGGTGAACTCTGTACCATGACATCAGATGATGGTGTCTTCTTTCTTTCTTTCTTTATTATTATTATTATTATTATTTTGGGTAAGAGTTTTATTACCAAATAATAGAGATGTGAAATGAAGCTCAATACACAACCCTAACAGGTAAATAAAGATACGCCCTAAAGCTGCATCTTCTCTGACCAAGAGGCACTGTCATGTGTGAGAAATATATTGCCTATATTGTATTTTAAGAATTTAGAATGATTGTGATTGTGTAAATATTGTGTAATTTGTATTTCCTTTTTAGTCTTAGGGATTAGAGTTCTATATAAGTGGTGTACTCTTTGTATCAAAAATGCATTTGAATATACAGAAATATTCAGAAACTTACATTATATACTACCTAGACTACAAAGACTCTCATAATCACAACCCAAGGACCTAGGTTACATACAAAGGACAGACAGAAGACTATCCTCTCATAAACCCAAAGGCTAGTATGCAAAACTAGCCTAGAAACATTGGCATCTCCACCTTGCCCTTGCTTTTGGAAAGTTTTGGCCTCTGCTTGAAGGTTTGAAGCATGGCTTCTTCAGTTTGATCGACAGATTTGCAAAGCCTTTTTCCATTGCTAGCTTTAAATATTTGATCTTCTTATCTAATTTCTGCTTGTTCTCTTCCCTTGAAGTGAAAGACTTCTCCATCCTCTTAACAATCCCATTGTCATAGGATGGACTGTTAGTCTTCTCCTCAAGTTTACTCTTGTTTTCATCCTGTGATGAAGAAAGTCTAATAGCTCAAGATTCCATCTCATTAAGAGTGGAAGAAATTGAAGTTTGTCTCTTGTCCTTACTAGGACCCACAGCAACCTTTTCCTTTTTTACTTCTTCACCCCCCGTTAAGGGTATGTACCATATATATATATATATAATATATTGTTATGTACTTTTGTGATTTTCCCCCACTTGTTTTTTCATTATATGATTGTTTTTTAGTCATATAATGGAAGTACACTTGTAGCACATTCCCTTTTGTTTTTTTTACCTTTTTACATCTTATATAATGAAAAAACAATCAAGAAATGTAATTTTATTTATAATACTTACAAGTGGGGGAAAAAAACAAAAGGACTAACATCACACGAGTTAGAAACCCAACTAGGTTGGCCTTTTCTATTTCGAATTTGATCATGTGCTACCTCCCTCAAAAACCTCACGAGTTTAAACTAACACATCAAAATAAAATTACAAACATCAGCCTAAAAGTGCACATTCAATATCATACATACATACATATATATATATATATATAATTATTAATATATTTAATGGATTGAATTTGAATTGAACAATGTAGATTTTTTTTGATAGAAATCAAAAATAAATAAATAAAAATATGGACGGGATAATTTAAGTTAAGCTAATGGGATGGTCGAGCTGGGCTTACCCATGCGGGCTCTTACGGGCCGAGTTTATGGACGGGCTTGGATAACAAACTTTTGTCAAATCCTTAAATCATCTTTTGTGGATTGGAATGGGCTGGACACTTAAGCAGGTTGGAACGGATTGGGTGGATTGAATAATATTGGGCTTTTTTATTTGCAGGCCATTTGATGACCTCCAGTCCTAGACATTGGTTAATATCGGGATATTTTGGAAATAATTGTGAGTTGCGATGATTTACCGAGTGTCTATTGTCCTGGACATTGGTTAAAATAGGGATAGAAAGAATTTTAAAAATGAGTTTGGTTTCTTTCAAGTTGGTTTCTTTCTAGAATTGCAGGTTTTTACTTGTGCTCTATTTGGATTATAATCGCATCCTAATTATTTGGAGAAAAAATAGTTTTGAGCAAATCAAGCAGTTAAGAATTAGTCTCTGAGAAACCTGAACTGTGTGATAGATATAATTTTTCACTTAATAAAGAAAAAAATTATTCATTTTGATGCATTTAAAGATTGGCAACAAAGCTTCTTGCCCCCGCCCCTGCCCAACACTAAAAAATTAAAAAACTGTATATGTTATAATGATACATAGGGAGGATTTTTGGGGTTTATAGGCTGCTCAACTTTGTTTATGTATAAGCAGTTTTGTTGTAAAGCTCCCAAGCTTGCTTAAATTCTTCCTATAAACCAATAGAATTAGTGTTTTTGCCAATACAAGTGTCGATCATATTTCAAATATCTAATAATCACTTGGATTTTGAATTCTTTTCAGGGATTGCATGTCAAGCCAGCCGCTAGTAGATTTTCTGCGTGAGCAGTTGAACACAGTAAGTGTGTGAGATCTCTCTTTGTTATGTGCATTTGTATTGGTGGAATAAGGTATATATAATAAAGTGTGGTAATTCTTATCAATAGTATACTTTGAAGAAGCTACTTAAGCAAGTACATGCATTTTTTTTTGCCATGGACCAAAAGCAAAAATGCATGCTTAGTGATTGATACTGAAATAGGAATAAGATTTTCCTTGCAAGAAAAGATAGAGAAAGCATGTGTTATATTGGTTGGGATTGTAGTTGTCTCTCTGGGTACATAAGTATTGTTGGTATTGTTGGTAATGTTATACATAAATAAATTTCTCACCACACATCAACTCTTTGGCAAAGCTTTGGCAACCTCCACTGGCTATGTGTAGCAATGGTGGTACATTTACCATATGCATGGTTTTCATTTTTTCAATCCTGATATTTGAGCTTTCACTGTCGACATCATAAATTGTTTGTTATAATACATTACCCACCTGTTGTTGAAAGAGTTGCTGATCTTAGTGACCAGTTTTTTGAGCTTTTGACAATCTTAGAATTCTTGCAGAAGTAGAATTTGGCAATACAAATTTTTGGGTACCTCAATCAAATATAAAAATTTGTTTGTTTTTTTTCCTAATTATGCATGAAAGCAAGCTTTCTGTGGTATGTGAAAGAGTACTTGATAGGTGTTTGGCACCATCTATTTCTGGTGTTGAGGGATGTGACGACATGACCATGATCTTGGTGCAGTTCAAGAAACCCCATGAGTCTGCTGCTGCTGCTGATGCAGATGAGAAATCCTTGACTTCTGATCATGGAAATCAGTCTGCTACTGCAGCTGCAGATGAGAAATCCTCAACTTCTAACCCAGCCGATACTGAATTGAAACCAGCGGAAACTGAGTCAAGCCCGTGACAAGTTTATCAATGTGTCATCAGATTGCGTTGGCGCGAGCTGTAGTTCCAAGGATATTCAACAATCCTTGGTTGTCTCTGTAACTGAAGACAGATTGGCTGGTAAAGATGGGCCGGTTACAAATTTACGATTGAGATTCACTGTGTGGTGTGTTTTTTTCCTTTTTCTATACGATATTATAATTGCAAGTAACTTGTACAAAATAGATCTGGATCAAAGTTGTTCAACTGTCATCTAGTTTAGCAGTCTATATTAGCTTGATAATGGTTTTGATATACCCTGCTTGTTTTTTCTTCAAAATCATTGGTTCTTTTCTGCTGAAGATGTCGATGTTTTTTAAATTTTCCTTGTTTATGTTTCCAAACTAATGAAAAATTATTAGTGACAAAAAATGAAAATGATAAACAAGTTGCGGTTGAATTTTGTATTTGTGAAGGAAAATTAAAAGGAAAGAAAAAAGACATGTAAAGAAAATTAACTAGAAACTATAATGTTGTGTTTGGATTCAAAATTGGAAATTTAGTCAAGCCTCTCCATTGGACTTTTGTTTGGTGAAATAGACAACTTAATTTATTTTGTTTCATAAATTTCCAAGGAGGAGGCGCATAATTAAGTAAGGATAAGTAAAGTATTGTTATTTTTTTCTTGGACAATATTGCAGGAGTAATATGTTACTGTGAGATAGAGTAACATGTTATTGTTTACAACAATTTCGACGGTAATAATTTTTTTTTAAGAATTTCATAGTCAACGTGGATCTTATTTGATAGATCTTGATGAGAGGATTCTAAAAATATTAATTTTATTAAAAATTGACATCTAAATCAAAAATTATATTATTTTAAAGTTTAATATTTAGTAATAGTGGTATGTGTTGGACTTTTAAAGAAAAATTATTTCTATTTGTCCATTTTATTATGAGGAAGTTTTGACCAAATTCCCCATTCAAAATTGGGAAATTTGATTATTAATCCCTCCGAGCTTCATTTTCTTGTTAAAAGGATCCCCCCCAGAAAAAAATAGTACTTTTAAAACCCACTCATAATTATAAAGTCTTGTATAAAAGACAAAATTTGTTATTTGAATATTTTATTTGACCATTATATCCTCTGTTTCTTCTCTTTCTTTTACGACATCTCTCTATCTTCACCAACTCGATGGTTGTTCATCGTCTCCACCATCTTCTTCGTCTACCGACGTTGCTCATCCTCGCCGTTGACCGACAACCACCATTTTTATCGTCAAACCACCACCCTCTCAAATTTGATATCTACAAAATCATATTTGAGATTAATAACTTCAAATTTAAAATAAAAGAACTTAGATTTGATAGAAAAAGAGAAATCGAGATATTGTAACGAAAAATCAAGAATTTTTTGTTTGTTTGTTCATAAATCTAAAAGTACAATTTGACTATGATTTCTTAATTTAGTATGTACTCTGTTTTTTATAACAGTAAAATTTTACTCTAGTTAACAACATGCTGATCTGCTTAACGACAGTAAAATTTTACTTTGAATCATAATAAATTTTGCTCCGATTCCGAGTACATTTTTATTCTTTTTTATTTATTTATTACAAAGTAAAATTTTATTCTGAATCAAAGTAAAATTTATTACGATTAAAAAAAAAAAAAATTACTCTAAAACAAGCTGCGATGATGGTTTTACAAGAGAGTGCTATGTTATGAACCAAAGTAAATTTTTACTGTTTGAATAACAGAGTATCATGAGAAGAAGATAGAAAGAGTATCATGAGAAGAAGAAAAAGAAAAGAGAGAGTAAGAGAGAACATAAATGGTGAGTAACACATACAAACACATAGAGAGAGAGAGAGAGAGAGAGAGAGAGAGAGCATGAACCATCAAAACTAGAAAGAGATAAAGTGAAGGCTCTCAGATATGAGGTTTTGCGAATCGTCGCGAACCGTCATTTTTCGGTGATGAAGACTGTGAATGATCTCAGATTTGAGGTTGTGGATGCAACAAGTGACGGCAGTGATAAAGACGGTAGAAAAAAAGTTCCATGGTGAGTGGTAGTGGTGCTGGTGGGGAGTAGCAGTAGCACTGATAGAGAGCAACAGTGATAAGAGCGAGATAAAGAGAAGAGAGATTGAGATAGCAGAGAGTGATTGTAATATGATATACATACATATATATGAGAGTATTATAATAAAAGAAATAAATTTTAAAATATTAAGAGGTTTTGAAAGGATTTATATAATTCTTATCTTTTTTAAGGATAAATTAGACACTAAGGGATCTATCACCAAATCCCTCTTCAAAATTTATTGATGAAAAAGGAAAGAAAGACGAAATTACTTATACATATATATATATATATATTATTAAAAAAATATTATTATTATTTTTTTTATAAGAAACTAAACTAACAAAAAATTGACAAATATATATTTATTTTCTTAACCAACCAAAAAAAGAGAGAAAAGTCTGTTTGGTATTGTTTTTATTTTTTATTTAATTTTTTAGGTTTTGAATGTCATTTTCCTATCATTTTGATTAATGAAACTTTGAGAATACAATGAAATCAGCTTTTGAGAACTCTAAAAATTGGTCAAAACTTTTTCCTGAAACGGGACATTTTTGAAAAAAATAAATAAATTCTTAAAACAGTTCTCAAAAACAATTATAACAAACAAGGAACAAGAAGTCTTCTAGAGTAAAAATTTTTGACTCCAAACCAAACAATCGGACCAAACCAAAACCAACCGCACCAACTGAATTTCAAAACCTTCCGTAACGACACAGTCTCTACTTTAATTACAAACAAGTCCAATAACTTTTAGATATTCACAAAATCATCCCCGAAACAACCAATCAACTTCCAAAGCTATAAAAAATTGAAACCCAAACACATTAAAAAAGTACACTGCGGTATCAAATGCTTTTACCATGTCAGGATCTCCTACCTTTTCTTTTCTATAACTATAACTATAAATGTATATTTATAGATGATATAACTGTTTGAACACACAATCAAACCCATCATCAAAACACTCTCTGTTCATATAGTAGAAAATGGAGATTAAGGTTGGAACCGATGGAGATGGAAAAGTGGTAGTGGTGCTGGTGGGGAGTAGCAGTAGCACTGATAGAGAGCAACAGTGATAAGAGCGAGATAAAGAGAAGAGAGATTGAGATAGCAGAGAGTGATTGTAATATGATATACATACATATATATGAGGGTATTATAATAAAATAAACAAATTTTAAAATATTAAGAGGTTTTGAAAGGATTTATATAATTCTTATCTTTTTTAAGGATAAATTAGACACTAAGGGATCTATCACCAAATCCCTCTTCAAAATTTATTGATGAAAAAGGAAAGAAAGACAAAATTACTTATACATATATATATATATATATTATTAAAAAAATATTATTATTATTTTTTTTATAAGAAACTAAACTAACAAAAAATTGACAAATATATATTTATTTTCTTAACCAACCAAAAAAAGAGAGAAAAGTCTGTTTGGTATTGTTTTTATTTTTTATTTAATTTTTTAGGTTTTGAATGTCATTTTCCTATCATTTTGATTAATGAAAATTTGAGAATACAATGAAATCAGCTTTTGAGAACTCTAAAAATTGGTCAAAACTTTTTCCTGAAACGGGACATTTTTGAAAAAATAAATAAATTCTTAAAACAGTTCTCAAAAACAATTATAACAAACAAGGAACAAGAAGTCATCTAGAGTAAAAAATTTTGACTCCAAGCCAAACAATCGGACCAAACCAAAACCAACCGCACCAACGGAATTTCAAAACCTTCCGTAACGGCACAGTCTCTACTTTAATTACAAACAAGTCCAATAACTTTTAAATATTCACAAAATCATCCCCAAAACCAACCAATAAACTTCCAAAGCTATAAAAAATTGAAACCCAAACACATTAAAAAAGTACACTGCGGTATCAAATGCTTTTACCATGTCAGGATCTCCCACCTTTTCTTTTCTATAACTACAACTATAAATGTATATTTATAGATGATATAACTATTTGAACACAAAGCTATAAAAAATTGAAACCCAAACACATTAAAAAAGTACACTGCGGTATCAAATGCTTTTACCATGTCAGGATCTCCTACCTTTTCTTTTCTATAACTATAACTATAAATGTATATTTATTGATGATATAACTATTTGAACACACAATCAAACCCATCATCAAAACACTCTCTGTTCATATAGTAGAAAATGGAGATTAAGGTTGGAACCGATGGAGATGGAAATTCAACTTACATTCCGGCGGCCTCTTCAGTCAACCCCCCTCTTCATCGATCAAGAAATGCAAGGTTCGCCGCACAAAAAAAAAAAAAAAAAACCTTTAAAACCTTGTCTCTGTTTCTTTCGATTGATCACGTTATTCTGCTTCTTTCTTTGTTTTTAGATTATACACATATATGCAATGAAAAACCCTTTAAACCCTCTCTCTGTTTCTTTCTGTTGATCTCTGTATTTTGCTTCTTGTTGTGTTTTTAAATTATGTATATATATATATACCAAAACCCTTTAAACCCTCTTTCTGTTTCTTTCCATTGATCACTGTATTTTGCTTGTTCTTGTGTTTTTACATTATGCATATATATGTAAGAATGTATGTGGGTATTTAATGTGTGTGTTTGTGTGTTTTGATTTTGTGGTTTTATTAGCTGCTCTGTTGGGTAATCGTCCAAACATTCATCGGAGGAGTGAAATTATGGGGAACCCATTAGATATGATTGAGATGATGATTGTCAGAGAAATGGAGAAGAGGAGGATAAGGGAGGAGATTCTCACGGCAGAGCAGCTGTTGCGGTGGCGAGAGCTGGAAGGGGAAGTTGTTAGGGAAATCATGATGGAAAGAGAGATTTTTATGCAGCAAGGCAGCCAAGGGTTGCCTTTGGCCGCGGATTCTTTGTTGAGGAGGCCGGATGGGCAGGGAATTCTGTCGTTGGGACAACGACATGGGTTTGGGATTGGGGAAAGGCCGGTGACAGGGTTGAGTTGGCAAGAGGGCCGGAGTGATGGGACTTTGTCAATGGTGAGGCGGGAAGGGGGCGGTGCTCTTGGTGGTTCTCTGTTTCAGTGTCAGCTCGAAGCGGCCATGGCCACACATGGGATTGCAATTAAGCCCACCTACGATCTTAGTAATGGACAAGTGCTCCCAATGGCCGTGAATCAAGAATTTGAGGGGGGATTTTGATCCAAACATCGCCTGAACAATTTGGTGCCGTTTAGGACAATGTAACAATTTTTTGGCCAAGGTTTTGATGATTGATTATTAGAGGGCATCTAAATAACTATACTTTGATATAGAGACTTGAAAATTTTAGTAACTGCAACGCGAAATGAGAAGGCCCAATGGCTGTGTAGCATAGTTCCATCAAAGGATCTAATTTTCGAGCTACAAATGAAAATACTTTCCTAATTAGTCCCTGAAATGCCCTTTTCAAATATTTCTTTCCCATTCTAATTTTTTTTTCTTCATAAAAAAAAAAAATTCTTGTAGTAATGTTGTATTATGTAATCAATTGTGATATCTCTATCTCCCTCAAATTTATTTATGCTTGCTTACATCAATTGGGTTCTTTTAAAAGCCACCCTTGTTAAAGTAGGGGAGGCTTTTTAGGTAACAGAGTATGTTCTAATCTCTTAGTACTCGGTTAATGATTTGTGAGGAGCATTGATGCCGTAAGGAAGGTGAAGATTTGAAAGTTGAAAAGGGGGCAATAGTCTGACATCTTCTTGTATTTTTCAGCTCGTTGAGCTCATGTTGAATTTGAGAAGGTGGAACATGGAGTCAGGTTGAAAGGTATAGAGGTGTTAAAAAGAATTTGGTTGAGCTTGCTGAGTTTGTTTGAATGCTTTTATTTTTATATGTATTTGTTTTATGTTTCAGGGGTTTGGGAGTTGTTTTTTTTACCAGCAACCTTATAATCACTCTGCTAGCTAGGGTTTTATTTGTTTTGTGGTGATAGCAACAGAGTCTTCCCTGTTTCTATGATGTACTTATATTTACTCTAAATAAATTTGTTTTCTAATTTTTTTTTTAAAAGATTTATTTTCTTTTACCTTAACTGTTTTTGAGACCTTCTGTTTGAATATTTGACCAAAATACGAAAATTCATCATATAGGAGAATTTTGAAGTTCTTCTCCATTTTTGATTCAATCAAATACAATTCTCAATTTTTAAGTCAAGTTGATTTTTTATTCAACTAAAAAACATATGCTTGGATTTGGTTGATTGTACATTTCACAATTATGTGAGAAGAAACTCCGTTTCTCCTTTTGCATTAAACTCTCTCTATTATCTAGTAAGGAAATCCGTCGTATTATTTTTCTTTTTTCTTTTAATTTTTTGGAATGAAAAATATCTGTTGCTTCTTGATTTCTAGAATCTTAAATGAGTTTCAAGTATTGTGGTTGCACCTAATACTTTTATATTGAAATCATTTTATTTTATTTTTACATTTTTGCTTACTAGATTGAGCAAATTAGAAAAATCAGTGTGTGCATCCTCATCTGTGTTTGATGCTTATGTAGTTGGATTTATGTTGAACAATAATGCCAAAAGGAGAGGGCATTAGGGGAAAGCAATACAAAAGTGAACAATAATACCAACAATTCAAATCAGTTGCCTGTGCCCGTCCCAAGTGGCCGTATGAAACCAATAACTACATATACTAAGAAGAATATGCTCAGTTGAATAACTATATTAAAATATCTTTTATGTATAAAAATTATAAAAAATAACAAATAATCTCAATTGATTAATAACTTCCATATTCACTTGAGCAACTACATCTATGATGTGTTTTGGCCTAAATCTTCTTCACTTTAACAAGAGCGAACCACAATTTTGAACCCACCCGAAATGACCAAAGTTGTACAATCATTCCTTCGCGCAGCCTATTGTTCTTCACAACACGATTCCAACTTGTTGTAAGATTGTAAGTTGTACTTACTTTGTTTGATTTTTTAGGCATGTCCCACTTCTTAAGACATATATCAGAATCGTGGCCCGACGGTTCAATTAATTTGACTTCAATAGGTGTCTTATGATTTCCAGTTCTTGTGTTGAGCAAGTCCTTCTCTTCTTGCGTGAGGAATCCATTATCGATTTGACATAACGGCAAAGATAGACGCCCATGTGTATGGCTAAGGTCTGTACGGTATAATGACTTTTCAATCACAAAATTCAATTCAGTACCATTCAGTCTTTCGATGTAATTCTTGAATTTAGCCGGCAATTCTGGTGGAACTACAGTCACCTTTTCAGTCATCCTCCTCTTCTTTGCCGTGCCCTTTTCTTCGTCATCACTGTAATCTCCATCATGGCGTGGCTGTTTTGAACAAACTTTCTCAGATTTCTGAACCATCTTCTTGATTTCATCCCCATAATCTCTATCAACTGAGAATCTTGCAGGCTTCGATACAAAGGACTGGTCAGGCGGCTTCAATTTCCATCGAATTTTGGTAGGCTTCTTTGTCATTGTTGCCTCAACCTCAGATATCTGATCAACTGGGACTATAACAGAACTTATATTCTTGCAGCGCTTGATGTTCTCTCTCATTGATCTTTTCCCCTTTGGGATTATAACAGATTTTCCAAATGGTGATCTTTCTCCATCATTATCATCATCATCATCATCATCAACATCAATAACAACAGAACATGAAGAAACAACACCATTCTTCTTCGAGTCCTCTCTGTCGACAGAGACAGAGACAGAGTGAGTATGATCATCGTCGTCGTCATCAGAAAGTGGCTTATGGGTTGAGTTGTGTAACTCAGACATAGTGAGCCCATATAAATCAACATTACTGTTCCTGACGAACTTCCCTAAGACCTTCAATTTCGTGTCGTCGTCGAGTTCGAGAAGACATTTTCTTGAACGCTCTACTTTCTGATGGTATTTGGCCCAATCAGATGAATTATCAACCTCCAACATCAACATCTCAATAAATTTAGAGAAACTCATGACAGCTCAAATTTGTAATTTGTGGGTTGGAGTAGCTATGGTTATGGATGTGTATATATATATATATAGATTTCCTAAACTGGGCCGATCAAAAAAAATATAGATTTCCTAAACTGGCTTGAACTGAAGCTTCCAAAATCAGATCTTGGAGATTCTAATAGCTGCCAAAATCAGATTTTGAACTGAGGCTTCCAAAATCAGCCATCCCTCCAAAACGACGTCGTTTTGTATTTTGTATTTTTTATTTTTTTTTGGCCCTTCCTTATTCTGCGTTCTCCTTTTCGTTTTTGAACCCTAGCCTCTGGACGAACAGAGAGGAGAGAGAGAGAGAGGCGACGGAGGGGAGGGGAGGCGAGGCGATGGAGAGGCAACGGAGGTACGGCGAGGAGAGGCGGCGGTGAGGCGACTGGAGTTGAATTGCTTGGTTTTGTTTTGAAGTCAGAAAACCCTTTTTTTCCCTCTCAGATTTTTGCTTCTCAAATGTCTCCATGGTTTTGTATTTTACTGGTGTTTGCAGTGAAGTTGCCTGAGTTGATGGCATATGTAAACATTGAAGAGAAGACGTTGGTCCGCTTGCAGCAGAAATTACTTGACTTTCTCAAGTATATACTCTATCCTTCACATTATACTGAATGCTCTTAAGAAAATTTAATGTTCTGAGTTCTGGAAATTAATAATAATAATAATAATAATAATAATTTTGTTGCTCTGTTTTTTTCTATTGTTGATGATGCTGTTGTTTGTTGCCATGAATTATCATGTTTCTTTAATCTAAAAGAATGCATTAAACATTATATATTAGGCAAAGTGACTTTCCTGCATCCAGAAGAAACTTCAGTATGAGAGCATTGTATACAAATTTGTCGTTTACAATGCAATTCATAGGTTTTAAAGTGAACTTGATCTGAAAAGAAAGCTATGGAATTGAAGTTGGATAGATAAAGTATAATTTTCAGTCTCATTCTATGTTCATAGGAAGATGATTAGTAAAACTATTCATTTAAGCTATGTTTGGATCTTGGATTTGTCAAGGAGAAGAAAATAAATGGGAAATGGAATTACTTGAACATTTATTTTTTATGGGTAAAAAAAAAAAAAAAAAAAAAAAAAGTATGATTTTTTATTAGAAAGTCTAATATATACCCATTTTCCTCACCCAACCAGAAAATAGGGAGAATTTAGCTTCTTTGACTTGATTTTCTTATGTTTACAGAATGAACCATTTAACAAAATTGTTTGTGTTTGTCATCTCAAAAAAAGAAAAAAGAAGTCATTTCTATTTTCTTGAGTCTACAAATTGGTGAGTTTGACAGTAATGCATCTAAAGGAAAACTTATATTCATAATATACATATGGAAGTGGGTAGTTTCATTTAAATATTTTATAATGCTTAACAAAGCTCTTTGCGATTATGCAGGTTTCTGCAGAAGAATTAGGGCACTTTCTTCCTTTATGCTTATGACGCCTCTAAAGTTTCCGAAGGGAGTGGCAAGGGGAAAGATAATTGAGCAGCAACTTCTGTTCCACCAACAATGCGATCATACTTGCTACTGTCTCAAGGCAAAAGCATTTTGTAGAATTGCTTGACGGTGCTGCTGGCTTGTCTAATTCTGTTTTGATGATCCAACAAGATAAATACTTCATTTGTTGATGTAACATTATTGCTTTATAATTTGTTTTAGTTGACATTGATTCAACGCTTTATAGAATGAAGAGAGCTACTTGGTGTATTAGCTAAGTGTTCTATACTTGTTTGTAAACATTTGGTGAGTTGTTTGTTATGTATGTGTCCAATACATCATGAAGAAAAGTTATCCAAACAGAAGGTTAACAAAATGCTTCAACTTGCAATGTTTTGATTGTTGAAATTGAATCACAGAATCAACATGAGATTGATTGGAGGTAGAAAGCATGGATTGGAAGTATAATTTACCTTATATTTAATTAAGTTGAGTTGAGTGATGATTTGTGATCCTGATGCAAGAAATGAGATGATTTGGGAGTGAGGCCTGCACCATCTGTAATTCTTAATTCTTTATAATAGAATAAAATTAGAGATTTATTTTCTATATTATATTCACAATGAGAGCGAGGACTATTTAACAGAAAATGGAGTATTTGTATAGGACTGTTTATAATTTGGAAGAGTTCATGCTAAGATGATAGACAGACTAATTTCTGTGTCTAATAATAGGTTATTTTTGTATTAAACATCAATAATCATATAATCAAATCATATGAAAACTTCAACTTGTTGTGTCTTATTTAATCGAACAGCTGATTCATTTCTATAATAGCTGATTCATTTCTATAATAAATCAATTAACTGTAACTTTAATAATTGATAAAATGTTTTTTATTGCACAAACTCTCTTCAATACATGACCCAAAAAAGCATCATACTATTTCAAATCAATCTGAGTTGAGACATGGAACACCATAACCAAACCTTTCATCATCAAGCAAAACTCCAAAAAAAAAAAAAAACCATACTCAACTTACTTTCGCATTATTATTTTAGGTCTCATAATATAAAAAAGATCAGATAACCCCATAAGAACTAAGAGAGGGGGAAAAAAAAGGGTAGAATTTATTCACGTTTTTCCTTCTCCAAAGAGTGTTGGAAACTCGATTTTGTTGGCATTTACCAAAGCAAAAGTGAATAGAAAGTGTGAAGCTGCCAAGGTTTCATGACCACAAAGTTTAACTTGCAAGCAGACATGAAAAATTTAGTGTCCAGATTAAATTACTCACTACCATGGACTTAGCTATTGAAACACAATCCTCAATTACCACACTATTATATATTGAGCATTAAACTAAAAATTAAGAAAATTACACAAGATTGAGGGTAGAAAATTAAAGCTAGTTTGCAAAATCACATGAATGCTCATTGATGGAAAACAAAAAAAAAAAAGAATTATGAGAGCAAAACTGATTTTTTTTTTTAATGGAAAACAGATTTATAACATGATGCGAAACAGCCAACATTTTGCATGCACCATGATTCCATCTAGGGTTTTCGAAAGTTTTGATCATTTGATAACTCTATATCCTTTTTTGCTTTTTCTATTACAAATTAAAACAGATTTTTGCTTCAAATTTACCAAATCAGAACAAATTTTTGGAGACCATTTCATCATTCACTTGCTAAAATGCAAAGCTTTGAAGACCATTTTTAGGAGAGAAAAAAATCATAAAGACAAATTGAACTAATAATAGAAAATTGACCATATCTATCTATACACAGTTGTGGTTGAATTATGGAGTCCAATGATAGTTTAGACTCCCCCTTCTCCCTCCAAAAATAAGCAATAGAAAAACTTTGGGATGAGAAAACATATTGAAAGCTCAAAAAAAGCTATGAATTGGATTTAACAGTAACAATTGGCTGACTCAAAGGAGGATTAGGCCAGTTCAACATAACTGACAAACAAATCAAATGCAAAAACTATAAATCAGTTTATCATCAAACAAATCTAACCCAAGAATCAAACCATGGTAAGAAATCAAACAATAAATCAGTAAATTAGTTTATCATCTACAAATCTAACCCAATAATCATATATATATATACAAAATTATCATCAACACAAATCCATTTAACATAAATCAGTTTATCATCAAACAAATCTAAAAACCAAGAATCAAACCATGGCAAGAAATCAAACAATAAATCAGATTATCATCAACAAATCTAACCCAATAATCATATATATATACAAAACAACAATTGTAATTGAACACATGGTATTGAATGTGGACACTGAATTTGTGTGGACAACACATATCCATTTAACATAAATCAGTTTATCATCAAACAAATCTAAAAACCAAGAATCAAACCATGGCAAGAAATCAAACAATAAATCAGATTATCATCAACAAATCTAACCCAATAATCATATATATATACAAAACAACAACAAATCTAATAGAAAATTGAACCCATTTCGATTTTGACCCGGGGGGGGGGGGGGGGGGAACAAAAATTTTGAAAAAAAAAAAAAAAAAAAAACCTAATCAAAACGACGTCATTTTTGGCTAGCGCCGCAGGAAGGTCCGCAGGACAAGGCGGCCGAGGATCTGGACTCATTTTAATAATGTTCTGTTTTTAGGTTGCCAAATTGGTGTTTTAGTATACTTGGGATTGAACTCTCCGAACTGCCTTGATCTGAGCTTTTAAAATCGGATTTTGGAGATTTTAATAATGCTCTGTTTTTAGGTTACCAAATTGGTGTTTTCGTGTACACTGAATTTGTGTGGACACTGAATTTGTGTGGTCTATGTGGGTGGAACTAGTGAAAAGATGAGGGGAAGTAGAATTATAATTGTAATTGAACACATGGTATTGAATGCGGGGTTCAAACTCTAACACCCTCCCGCCAAAACTTGAGCCGACTTTAAAATAATTAAATAATTATTAAGACATAAATCAATATAATACACCTAGCTAATAAAAAATTATAGGGTATTAGTCTAATTTTACACACGTTTACCCACTTTTTAGAAATTTATAGTCATGTTTGGTGTAATTTATTGAGATTGTGTAATTTTTTTTAAATATTATGAATATATACCGAAATATTTGGTATAACTTTCGCTTACATGTTTTTAGACAAAAAAAAAAAAAAGAGCTGCCTTTTTTCTTTTTTCTTTTTTTGAGGGGGAGGGGATAACAAGTCAGTGGGTATTTCAAAAATTAATTATAAATTAATGATAAAATTTATAAAATATTAATCATGATTAAAATCATTAGTTTTTTCATGAATTTGTAACAGTTTTACGAAAGCACATTCTTCCATTTATCAGAGTTTCATTACAAAAAGTATTACATGTTAACGACAAAAGCAAATGCCCTAAAGGCTTACAGCTTTCCAACTTAACACTTGGTTACAACAAAAGAGTACTAACTCAATTACACATTAAGCCATTGGCTTGAATTTACATGCAATACATCAAAAATAAGACAACAAAAATGTGTCCGCCTCTAGCCTCCCAAGCTACGTCCTTGGAGGTGGCATGCTACCTGTACCTGAAAATGATATTCCCATATAGGGTGAGCCACAGCCCAGTAGAAATACACTAAACCAAATATGAACAATGACTAAAAGATTAGCAGTTGATAGATGGCCAACACTGATACTTTCCCTTATCACACTTTACAGTTTCATGACATACAAGTCCATGTTAAAATAAAATTTTCCAAAAAAAATTGGAGAGGCTAAGACCGCCCCTCCCCCCTTGATTAAGAGATCAATAAATAGTCATTCTATTCTTGCCTAAAATCATTTCAACAAACCAAACACTACTTAAAAACCTTTTCTGGAGAGAATTAATTGAGAAGCGATTCAGTCATACTATATACATATGAGTCCTATTCATTCAATACAGAGAGAGCCTTGCAAAGTTGCAATATGTAGCTATGGACTCATCCGCAAAATCTCTGGTTCAACAGGAAACACCTGTTCTCTTATTATACAAAAAAAAAAAGGTTTTTTTTTTTTTTTTTCAAATTAGTTGTTTTTTTAGTTATGTTAATTGACCTCACACATGTTAGACTGAAGTTGAATTTTTAGACTTTATTTTATTTTATTTTTAATCTTGTGAGATCAGGGGTGCTAAACAAATTTGCTAATGAATATGATTATTTTCAACTTGCCTCCAAGAGTGAACTCTAGCTCTTACATCGTTCTCTCAATTGTCTTGATAATACTGCTTTATCCCCTTATTTGAATATGATTATTTTCAACTTGCCTCCAAGAGTGAACTCTAGCTCTTACATCGTTCTCTCAATTGTCTTGATAATACTGCTTTATCGCTCTTATTTGAGTGAGCAAGTACTCAATTCTCTCCATACAAAAGAAAGTTTATATAAAAAGATTCAATATAAACTATTGTAATGCCAACAAAAAGCCCTTCACAAGAAAACAAAAGAGTATTTTCTTCACAGATAAAATGTATAAAATTTCAACCTTCAAAGGCATCCAATCTAGCTACTTGACTTCTTCTCTACTCTAAATTGCTCCCGACCAATTCGTACCTTTTCTTCTCCTTTCTCATCTTCAGCTCTATGTAACGTAACGAGTAATCAATACAAATAACAATCTCATTAAGGCAAAAAAACATTTATTGACAAAGCCTAAGTTCTCTTTCTCATTAAAAATACTTACCGTATCTGGATTTGAAACCAAAACTGAATATGGGCTTCCCGATGGAGCTACATTAGCACTACAATTCCGTCTCTTTCCATGAATTTTTCTTGTCATACCTGAATTTTGTGGTTGAACAAGATCTTCTTCAAGTTTTGGAGATTGGATTTTCAATAGATATCTACACCTTGGCCTAAAAAAACTGCAATTCATTTGAAAATGAGCAAAAACCCCAGTTATCAATCCACAATTCCAATTCTGACAAAAATTCAAGCCTATTTGAACTAAGATTATGAGTATTCATACCCGGCTTCTGCCAAAAGGATATCTCTCTTTTTGTTTGAAGTCTGCAATTTTCTAGTTTTTTAATACAAATTCCTATATATGATCAAAACCAACGGTACATGACCACAAATAATGGTTTATTCAAGAACATAATGGAGTGATATAGACATTAGACAGTAGAAAACGAGGTTCAAATTCAATAAGCAAATTCTTCCAAATTGAAATTTTATTGCACATTGACTGAAATCTATCCATATGGGTTGAACAAGGGACGAGATATCATTTACACTAACACTATTTTTATGTTACACTCAAGAACCTGAAGGACATATATATACAATATGTGACTATTCACCATCCTTGTGGACAACAGTTAGGAGAACTTAAAAAGCACCTCAAATATTTCGGGCCACAAACCTTGGAACCTTTTGAAGCATGGCAATAGCAATCTCACCACCAACATTGCAAGCATGACTAGGCCCACACTATCACAACCAAAATGATCAAGTACTATCAAGCCAAACATTCCTGGAAAAAAAAACAAGTGTAAGCAAAATTAAGTGAAAGGTTACCAAGTTAAAATTAATACACAAACAATGTCCGAAATCTAAAATTCAAAAAGGTAGTAGAAAAGCCAGTGATGAATATTGCAGATATGCCAGAAAGAAATCCAAAGGATTGATACCTTGCGTGCCTTGAGTACTGGCAACAGAAATTAGGACAATGAAAAGCCGAGGAGTAACCCCAAAAAATTCAAAATTAATTAGGAAGCTGTGCAAATGTCCCAGTGTTTGCACGATCAGGATTCCCAGACATGCTATATCCTCGAATGAGAGCATTATATGTGAAAACATTAGGTTCAAGGCCCTTAAGTAGGAGTTCTTCATACATTTTCCCGGCTTCCTCGATCATTCCAACAATCCCAAGATTGAGAACTAAGGAATTGTAGGTATAAAGTTAGGAATAATTCCTCTACTCTGCATCTCATTGGAAAGAGAGAGAGCTTCTTCTATTCTTCTTGATCTCCCAAGGCCATTAATCATAAGGTTGTAAGAAATTAAATCAGGATCAATGCCAGACGACTTTAATTCCTCAAAGTAGTGCACAGCATCATCCACTTTCCCCACCATGCACAGGCAATCTACGAGAATGGTGTAGGACTTCAGATCTGGTCTTATTCCCTCTTTAACCATTCTATTAAACAACTCACAAGCAGTTTCCACATCCCCTCATTTGCCAAATCCATTTGTAAGAATATTGTAAGTAGAACAGTTCGGTTTACATCCGTAATCCACCATCTCATCAAAGAAACTCCTCGCTTCATCCAAATTTCCCAGCTTTAAGAGACCATCTATGAGAGGACCATATGTACAAGGAGTGGGATTGAAATCTCCACTGATAAGATCATAGTAAAAATCTATGGTTTTCTCTATTCTATTAGACTTAACAAGACCAGCAATAACTATATTGTGAGTTATGGTGTTAGGCTTACATCCCCTGCTGAGCATCTCTTCATAGAGTTCAAAAATTTCATTGACCCTTCCAGACTTCCCAAGATCATCAAGCAACAAGTTGTAGGTGAAAACATCAGGAGCAAAACCAGCAGTTTTCATCTCCTTAAAAAGACCCCAAGCCATTTCACTGAGATGAACATCAAGAAACCCCTCAATCAGAACATAAATATGCTTCTAGTGTAGGTTGAATTCCAAAACTGTTGGTAAACTTCACAAAAAGTTTGTGAACGTCAAGGGCTTTCTTATGCTTGCACATAACCTTAATTAGAGGAATCAATACTGAGTCATTTCTGCAAAGCCCATTAACTATCAATCTTTCAACTAATGAAATGGACTGATCAATTTCAGCATCACATAGAATTCCTTTAATTAAATCTCTCCAAAAAGAGTTGTCTGTCTGATTCCTAACTTGGTGAACAAAGGTCTTGGCATCTTAAATGCATCCTCAATCCACCCGTCCTTCACAAAACATGGTAAAAGGGTGCACAAAGTTATATTATCAGGATAGAGCATCTTTCTCATCTGATGGAAGAATAAGAATGCATCATTAACCCTATTCTCTCTAACTAAACCGTAAATGACAGTGTTGTTAAGTAAAAACATCGGAAAACAATTTCTTCTTGTCATCTCGAAGAGCAACTTCAAGGCCATATCAATCTCATCATTCTTACAAAGGCAATCGAGAAGTGTATTGAAGGTAATTGAATTGGATGGCACCCTTATGCAGTTATGCTCTCAAATAATTCCACGGCCTCTTGAACCTTCCCTTCTCTCCCTAAACCAGCCAATAATGTGTTGAAGGTCACAACAGTAGGAGGATGCTTCATCTCCGTCATCTACAAAACATTGCCCATGCCTCATCTACTTGATCAGCCTTGTAAAGAGTGTCAATCAAAGAATTGATATTAACCACGTCAGGATCACATCCCCTTTCTATCATCTCAGAGAATAATTGGATGGCTTCATCTATTTTCCCTTCCTTACTGTAGCATTTCATCATCATGTTGTAGGTTATAGAATCTGGAGCTAGTCCACTCTTTTTTAGTCCATAGAATATACCTTTTGCCTCCCCAAGCCTACCCATTTCCACTAGACTATACAAAGATGCATTACAAGCAACAATATAGGAACAATTCCACAGAGTTTCATCTTCTCAAATGTTTCAATAGCTTTGTCAGGTTCACCTGACTTGCCGTAGTAGTCAATGAAAAGGATATATGTGTAAGCAGTAGGTTTCATGCCAAATGATTCCATACCATCAAAAAGTTCTAACACTTCATTCAATCTATTAACTCTCAAAAGTCCACCTATTAATGTATTATAAGTACGAAGATTTGGCAAGATCCCTATCTTTCTCATGTTATCAAGGGTACCAAATGCTTCATCAAGCTTCCCTTCTTTGCATAAAGCATCAACAAGTATTGTGAAAGTAACAACATCTGGAACATAACCATTTGCTTCCATCTCGCTCCAAAATTCTCTTAGTGTCCAAATCTCCACGGTAACAAGGTGATGTAAGTTACTCGATCAGGTTTATGGCTGCTGGATTTCATCTTTAGAAACACTTCTTTTGCCTTGTCAAGTTTCCCAGCAGGACAAAGAGCATCGATGGGAACTATATAAGTAATTACATCAGGTCCACAGCCCTCGTCATCCATTCTCTTCAAATGACCATAAGCCTCATCAATTTTTCTTGCCCTCCCAAGAACCCTAATGCATATGGTGAAAGTATACACATTTGGCCTCAACCTCAAACTCTCCATCTCTTCAAGTAAGCCCATGACAGTTTCAATATCCCTTCTATTCCCAGATGCTACCATAAGCTCGGAGTAGGTCTTGAGACTAGGCTTAATCCCTACTGAAACGACTCTTCTATAAACCTCCAGAGCCTGTTTACAACATCCGGACTGAAGAAGCAAATGGATCAGCCCATTGTATGAATACCCATACAAAATGAACCCTTTTTTTCTTATCCGCTCAAGTGCAAATGGGGCTTGCCGAATCCCTCCTTTTACATGAAGAGCCTTAAATATGATCAAATAAGTATTCAAATTCCTATAGATAATTTGCTTTTGCATCAAATCAAACACAACAGCCATATCACCAACCCTCCTATGAACCATCAAGAGCTCAAGCATGTAATTACATGTTTCGGTAGTGTGAACAACATTTAGGAAGTTGAGCAACAGACTTAAAGAATGAAAAAGCTTCCTCTGGGTCTGAAGAAATTGACTTCAAAACCCTAACTGCTTCCTCAAAAGACATACCACCATTTGGCTTCCCACTCACTGCCATTAACCCATGTGAGCTTTTCATCACAGACCCACAAAGACCCAACATTTTTCTCCTATGTTTCTTCTAATTCACCATAGACCCATTGCACTTCGAGTGGTATTGTCTATTATTATCAGGTAGGTAGGGCAGTGTAATTGACATTACTACAGCAAATACTTGAGTTGCAATGTACCAAAACAGCCATTGATGAATATTATCAGAAGAAATCAATTCGGGAAGAGCATAAATTAGAGGTGCGATGTGTTTTGCATGATGGGTATTCGTTGAATTGTCTATGAGAAAGTAAATTGCAGAGATATCAGGATAGGCGTTCACTTACCAAAGAAAATTGGATGATGTATTATCAGTTGAATGAGAACTTCGTTTGGCGTAGGCTAGGGCTGCAAATGAACAGAGCCGTTCATGAACAAGCTCGAGCTCGGCTTGGTAAGAACTCGTTCGAACTCGGTTCGTTAATTTTTTTTGCCGTTCGAGCTCGAGCTCGTTAAACTTTTAATAAACAAGCCCAAATAGTCTAAAGCTCGGCTCGTAAGCTCGGCTCGTTAGCTGGCTCGTTTAATATTTATTATTTATATATTAAATAATATAAAATTATGTATAAAAAATAAGAGAAATATGCTATTTATATATTTAAAAAATATAAATGTAAATAATACTTAACTATAGATAGTATATTTATATAATAGTGGTAGTAGATATTATTATTTTAGTAAAATATGGACTTTTTTTTAGTATGTTTATATATATTGTATATATAATTGTATAATCAAAGTTTTAATTGTAACTTTAGTCTCACATGCAAGTATGAATTTATAAATTTTTTGGCTCGTTAAGGTTCGTGAACAGGCTCGAGCTCGAGTCGAGCCTAAGCCAACTCGGCTCGAGCTCGGTTCGTTAAATTTTTATTTAGCTCGAGCTCGAGCTCGAGCTCGAGCTCGTTAAAATCTTAATAAACAAGCCCAAACACACTAAAGCTCGGCTCGGCTCGGCTCGGCTCGTTTGCAGCCCTAGCTATAGGATGTCATCAACATGAAGATTATGAGTTTGAATGTGTATATTGAGCTTAGAAAAGAGTTTGAAAGATTTTACATGTATGCTTTGTTTCTTAAATTTCAAGATGAAATGTGAGCTTTTGACAAAACCTTGGGACATGATTTTATGAAATGATCATAAATTCTTCATGTTTTACAAGTTTACTATGTTATCTCAAGTTTTGGGGCCCAAGAGATGTGTTTTGGAAGATTGAATTCAAGTTTTGAGCTTGGTGATCAAATCTGGAAACTCCAGAGATTTGATCCGAAGAGACCCTTATTGAGAGCTACTATCTGATTCGATTACATTATGGGGGATTGTGAATTGCTTATGATCGAATAACAGGGCCGTGTTGCTAAGGGAACTAACCGAATGGGAATTAGAATCAATCTTGAACCCT